CTTTCCCTTTGTGTTCGTCATTTTGGTTAATTACTGGAAGATGGTGGTTCTGGCCAAAAGGGCCCACCATTCTACTTTTAATATTTATTTATTTATTTTAATTTGACCAGAGGGAGAGAGAAAAAGAGAGAAAGTGAGAAAGCAAGCCGCCAGGTCAGGGACTTGAACTGCCATTGGCCATGTGGAAGTCCAAAACCCTTAACTACCATGCCACCTGCCAGTTCCCACCCAGTGTGGTTTTCAAGCCACCAGGTCTGGGACTTGAACTGCAGTTGGCCATGTGGGAGTCCAGCAATGTAAATGCTATGCCATCTGCTGGCCCCATGCCCTATGGTTTTACAATTCACTTGCATTAGGGAAGAGAATAGATGATGAATAACAATGTGGGTTTTTTCTAAGTAAATATTATGTATTTTTAAAAGACACCTGACTAACAAGTTATCTGTTATTATATATTAGCAGGGTAATTCATCATAAGTCATATCGTAAATGCTAGTTGATTCACTTTGAATTGATAATCATTGGAAAGCTTTGTACAATATTTGCTATCATGTCTTCAAAGGACATTTCGAGTTTTTCACTTATTCTTTCAACTACTCCTCCTCATGGCGAGATGTACTAATAAAATAAGGCTACAATTCAAAACTGAAACAGAATGAAGTTAGCTCTTTTAGTTATGTACGTGAACCTGCAACCCCTAAGTTCATCAGTATCTTGATCTGAACTACCAAATTCAAAAAGTGAGATTATGTCTCATCTCCAATAATAAAATATCAGAGAAAACTTTTCACTTTTGGTTCATGGGAACTAAATCAAAAGTTAAAAATTCATAATGCATGGATTAATTTCAGCTGAATATGTAACAGACCATAACTTACAACAAAACAGTATACTAATATTGATTAGTGGGAAATTTTTTTTTTTAATTACCAAAGGGTGTGTGTACTCGCAGGAAGGACAGAGAAAGAGTGAGGGAGCACTCCTTAATGGGTGGGGGACATCATCCCACAATCCCCTCTACTCCATTTTTCCAGCTTGTCAGGATTGGGAGCATGGACACAGACACCAAACATGTTTTTCAAGCCACTGGGGCTGGGATTTGAAACATGGTTAGCCATGTGGGAACTAATTCCTTTAACCATTATACCATGGGGCTGGTCTGGAAAGTAATTCAT